TGGGGGGGGAGAGCTTGATGGCCAGCTTTAGCAGGCTTTTCAAGTACTGCTTGTAGAGAAGGGGCCAGCTGAAAGATGACTGGCGTGAGGCAGTGGGTGGTGGACAGGCTGCTTTTCATTTCATGCAAAGACGGGAGAGGAGAAAGGAGACGGTCTGGCTACTGTATGGCCCCCTTCGCTCAATGGACTGAAGACCTGATTGCACTTGCCACTTATGAGCGGATTGCCTATAGACGTAGACTTTGCATGGACAAGTACAATGAAATATGGGACTTATTTATACAAAATACAGTAGGTTAAAAAAAATGCCGGTTATATAAATGTATTGGAAATAAATATGTGTTTGAATAATATTTGCATTAGATAAATATATATAGATGTGTAACTATTTACTGTATAATGGTACACAACACTGTTTATTTATTTATTTGTTCTGGTGTTTTTCTCATTTTTTGTAATACCTTTTAATGTTCTCTTTCTTCTTGTGTATTATTATTATTTTGGTGTTTTCTCCTTTTTGTTATTAACAAAAAAGCAATAAAAAAAATTATACAAAAAGGAGATGGTCTGGCTAAGTGACAGTCCCTGGCTAAGTAGGCTTGTACCTGGTTAGTCCTTGGATGGGAGACCACCAGGAAATCTTAGGACAGGCTGGTAAGTTGGAAAAACATCCATCTGAAAAGAATGCAATGCAATACTTTCGACTGCTGTCAAGGAAGCCCTGCGGCCCTGCCTGTGAACAGGGGCATCCTTGGGAAGGCCAAGAAGGTGGGGGGCAAATTAAAAAAAAGCAGCATTCTGTCCTCGGCCCCTTTTGTACACATAAACAAACCGGACAGTTTGCTTTGTTGACAGCACAATGCTGCTTCCATCATTTTGACCAAAGCTTTGGATCTTGTGGGCACCTTTGCCCAGGAAGTCACCAGGAGTCAACCTCAAGTTGTGAAGGCCTTTACCTTTGGAAGGTAGATACAACATTAAAACTCTGGTCACTTGTGGTAAATTCAGATTCCTAAACGTCTAAGGCAGTGTTTCTCAACCTTGGCCACTTGAAGATGGGTGGGCTTCAACCCCCAGAATTCCCCAGCCAGCATACTGGGGGTTGAAGCCCACCCATCTT